AAGCGACCCAGTAGAAAAAATTTGTTTTATTGTCTTCCCTTACGTTATGCTGGAGGAAACATCGTATCTCTGTAGAAGACCCAGAGTCCCAAACTACTGTTCAATTCCTTTGAGTTCATCATTCCTCTTCATCAAAAGTTTTAGTGTATTAGTAAGGGTTTCTTGTAATTTCCAAGGGAAGTTATCTGGAACACCGCATAGGATATCTCATTACTATTCTGTCTGATGACTAACTTTAAAGGCAAATGCAATCCCTACAGGATTGCACAGGCACAACTCCTTAAGGTTTGTGATATTCTGCAATATAAGAAATCACAAGTTGCTTCATGAAGAAATACAAAGAGAATGATGGAAGAGGGAAATTAGAATGCCCAACACAGATGATGTAACTGATCATGTATCCTTCCTCATGATTATGTATGTCATTTATGTGAACATAAGATATACTTGATTTCTTCTCATTTTCACTTCTATTATGATTCACAATAAGCACTGACTTTGTATCATAGTATTTAAGTGCTATTAATTCTATAGCACAGCACTTACATGCTGTTACTTTTATAATGCAGTAGGGGAGCTATTATGGAAAAATAATTAGTCACCACTTAAGGATTTTACGACCTTTTCTGCAGTATGATTCGGTAGACTTTTTGAAATAAAATAGAATATTTTAGTTAGTCACACCAGGATTTGCAGAGTATCTGTGAGGGATTAGGTCCTGAAAACCACCTTCCAGAGACAAAATGCACACATGCTTCAGTTTCTTATACCATAAGCCAAAGGACCTGCATTATCTAAGCACATCTTTCCTTTTGTCTTAAATAACCTAGAGATTACTTATATAGTTAATAGAACCTAAATGTTATGCAAGTAGTCATTAGGATGTTCCTTTAGTAAATCATTGCAAAAAGAAGTTATTCATATTTAGCAATGAAAAATATTTTCCTAATTATTTAGATTCAACCATAGATGGTTGAATTTTCAGACGTGGAGCAACAGGGGATTCAAGAGCCAATTACATAATGTTAGTCAGAATTGTGGTTCTGTTGTTGTTCTTGTTTGAAGGCTAGGTATCACTTAACAATCTACTTCTGGGTTCAAAGTGACAAGTTAAGTATTTGAGTTTTTTTGTGGTTGTTTGGTTTGCTTTGGTTTCTAAGTGTTGAGGATCAGATCCAAGGCCCTGTACGTTCTGGGTAAGTGCTATATTATAGACCTGGAAGATCCCACGCCCAAGGGGCAGACTTGTAGCTCTAAATTTCATGCGTCATTTCACTGGACCGGTATTCTGCCTAAACATTATTTCTGGATGTGTCTTTGATGGTATTTATGGAAGAGATTAACATTTAAATCAGCAGGCTGAGCAGAGCAGATTGCCCTCCCCAATGTGGGTGGGCAAAATCCAATCTGCTGAGTGACTGAATAGAAGAAAATAGTGGAGAAAGAGGAGTTTGATCTCCTGGCTGAAGGTTTGCGCTGCTATATGAGTCTTCACATGCCCTTGGACTTGGATTTCTATTGCCAGTACTTACTACTATCTCTGAGGCCTTAAGTTAAATTGAAACTACAGTTCCATTCTTCAAGGCATAGGCCTTCTGACGTAGACTAGAGCTTTAGCTGAGTTCTGTTTTCAGACCTTGTGACTCACAGTGGAAATCTACCACCACCTCCAGGGTGCAAATACCACACTGAGAATTCTGAGCCTCAATAGTTCTATGAGCCAATGCCCTAAAATAAATCCCTTCACGTGTATGTGTGTGTGTGTGTGTGTGTGTGTTCTATTGGTCCTGTTTCTCTAGAAACAGCTCATTATTGCAATAGTAAAGAAACCATGGTACATATAAAGAATGGAATAATAAACAGAAATGAGTGATCAAGTGACCTAGTTTGCTTTGCTGTCACTTTGGTAAAACTCCCCGAAATGAGCTTGGAAGGGGGGTTTATCTTAGTACTGCCAAATCACAGTCCATATGGAAGGATGCTACAGCAGGAACGCTAGACAGGAGCTGGAGTAGAGACCGTGGGCAAATGCTGCTAAAGGACTTGCTCAGCCTGCTTTCTTATCCAACCCGGGAACACTTTCCCAAAGAAGGAGCCTCCCACAGTGGGCTGGGCCATCATATATCAATCATTAATCAAAATGGCATCCTCACAGAAGCGCTTTGCAATCCAATATGATAGAGGCATTTCCTGAATCGAGGTTCCCTCGTCCTAGGTGACTCTTGTTGTGTCACAGTTACAAGGCTTAAAATGATATACTGTGGCTTTTAGTGTATATTAGTAAATGAAGGGCGCTGCCTCTAAAACCTGAACTGACTGGACAAAGGATCCTCATATCGTGCTGTGGTTCTGTGTGGAACCACAAAGGGACATACAGGGCTCTACATATTTTTCAAACTCCATAGAACTCACAGTGCCTATGGTGGCCTCGAGTTTGAACCATGGACTTTACGGGATAATGTCACTGTGTGGACCCAGACTCCCCAACTGAAGCAAAGAGACTGCTGATGGTACTGGGGAACATGTGTGCATGCAGGTAAAGAACCAGAGGAACTTTGTGCCTTCTGCCGTGGAAGAACGAAAATTCTGTTTTTAAAATAATGCGTGCTAGGAGGTTCTGAATGGAGGTATCCCTACACTTTGAAAACCATAACTCAATGCCCAAATCACATATTCTGTTGTTATCTACTTTGACTTGATAACACAATGGCAAAATAGATGTGATAATAAGGATTCAACCATTTCCTTTCCAAAAACAATGGCAATGTCAGATTTCTAAGCAAAAGCAGTTCACGAAAGAATGAGATGGAATTTTTATATCAATATTGAGCTCACTGAGCCTGCAACAGAATATTAATGCAAATCTAGCATTTAATAATATTTACATCTTAAAATTTTCATTTGGAAATGAACACTGGGAGAAAAGGGGACATTCTTTTCAGTAAGGAAAACTTTCTGAGACATATTTTAATCAAATTTGACTCCTAAAGATTTCAATCTTTAAACTGATTCATTTGGTCATACATGTTCTCAGCCAGAGTGTAGGCCCCACCCCCAAAGTCTTTTTCAGTTCACTGGGAAGCTGTCCTTCAGCCTGACTGGTTGTGATTTATTTCTGCATTTTATTTTCATGTGTGTGTGTGTGTGTGTGTGTGTGTGTGTGTGTGTGTGTGTGTGCTATAATGCCAGTGTAAAGGTCAGTTCTCCTTCCCTTGAGTAGATCCTAGGGCTTAAACTGTAATTACCAGGCCTGATGACAAGGGCCTTTAGCCTCCCTGAGGCATCCCACAGGCCTCTACTTGTGATTTATTTTAAAAGGAAGATAAATATCTTTACTCTTCAGTCAGGATAGCCTAATCCTGCTTTTTAAATAAGAATTGGGGTAATTACTATGTATGTAAGTGTACGCTTTCTCTTAACATAGTGCTCCTTTTCACAGTAAATAGTTCATCCTGAAATCATTGCTTGTTACTAACAAAATGGTAATAACGTTTGGCAGGTAATTCTATTTGCAAAGCCTTCTTGGCCAAGCTCAGCTTCTAGGTATTCTCTTAATAACTAACACTGAGCAGCTTTGGAGACAGAAAACGACATGCTGATACATTATAAAAAAAGGTTTGGTTTTGCCCACATTCTTTGATGTCTCAATTGTTTTGTTTTTGGTTTTTGTGCCTTCCAGGTCCTTAACTGTAATCCTAATAATATTAAATTGAAAGGATTTGGGCCAAGAACTATGGCAAATCAGAAATAAAAATAAAATTTTAGTATTGATCATAAAGTTGTCTATGAATATTGAGTACTATGGTAATTAGTAACTTTATACTCTTTTAAGGGAGGAATTTACACAGAGGAAACAAGACATATAGAAATGGGGAAAACATTAGCTAGGTTTCTAAGATTTGAATGCAGATGAACGCTTAAGCATTTTAAAAAGCCATTCATTCCCTACTGCTTTGGAAGGTTACGGGTGTGTGAAGTGACATCATGAAGCAAGCCAACAGTGAAACCTTTTGAAAGAGTAACACACGAAGAAAGGAGCCCAGAGAATGGTATGAATGATTTAATCAGATAGGATTCAAGTTTCTCCCCGGCCATTTGCCTTTTATTCTTCATTTCAGTTAGTAACATGTCCATTGGTTTATCACCAAGGTTACGCATGCACCTTGAGGTGGTCACAAAAGGTACACGATACAGGGGTTCATAATTAGGTTATACAGTATATTCAGAATCCCAGGAGAACTAATAGATTCTAGAAATATTGATTAAGCAAGATGAAAAACTCTCATACAATTTGAGCTACAGCAGTGTTAAAGACAAATACAGGCTTCATTAGCCACAAAGCTCACAAAAAAGGAATTGATTAAAGAATATCTCTTTTATGCAAAATAGACATTTTAGGATATAATTTGATAATATTCTACTATATACTGACATTTCCCTTGATCATTTAATAAAAATATATTCTCCTTGCCAGAATTTATATTTTTTAATATTTATAATTGAGGTAACAATGACAGAAGACTTAGACTATGAATACTGTTGCGGTGGATTTCTTTTAGATAATAACACTTTTCCAGAACTGAATGAATACATGACTAAAAATTAGTTAGATTTTATATGGAGACACTAAAAGTCTACAGCACAGTGAACAAGCTGATATATCAGTGGTCTGCAAGAAAATGAGGCAGACAAGTGTTTGTGGAACCAACATACAATGTACAAATAAGGAATGAAAACAGACCTATACTACATCGGATTCACTGCCTTCGGTAATTCTCAGCAAAGCCACCATGACCTGAAGAGGAGACACTCAGAGTCTCATGGGCATTCCTTGAAACCTCCGGGATGTTAATCATGAAGCTGGCTTCCTGTGTTATCAGATTGTTGGAGCGGTTGACCCATGCACACGGTGGTATTTACAGGTGTTTCCTGGACACTGGTCAGCCGACAAGCAGACTCCTTCCTTGGCGAGCACTGCTTCAGTTCCGATCACTGTTCCTTTATAAGCTTTCAATGGCTTCACGCAGGTGCAGGACCTCTTCTGAATGCAAACTGGTCACATCAGGGCACATTCAGTAGCAGAAGTTTCCAGTACAATCCTGGGTATGGCTAAATCTCACTGCCCCCTTTTTCAGCAGTCAAAAATCCATGATAAATTCTGTACAACACTGCAGTCAATAACAGCAGCACCAGACAGCATATTAATTCTTTACCATAAACCTCTGCATGTTTATAGCATTCTATAAGCGGTGTTATCAAAAGAATCATGGTATCTCTAAGTCTCGGATGGCTACGTCTGGGCAAAAACATTGCTGTACAAGATCTCTGAAATGCAGGTCATGCTCTACAGCGTGGGGATGAAGACTAACACACGCCTTTAGCCAATAACAAAGGAGACAATTGTCTTTCTATCAAAAGTAAACACGAGAATTAGGAATTCATTAACAATCTTAAGGATCAATGTGTCAAAGGTATTGTCTACGCTGCGACTATATTATGGCATTTTTCTTCCCTCATATACCTAAAATATCGGACACACTATTGCTATGGCATTGGGTAGGGATGTGTAAACAGACTCTCTTCCCTCCAGACTGCGAAAGACTCCTTAGGGATGCTTGCTGGAATGTAGTGATGAATGCTGGTTGCTAGGTAGTAGAAACGACATTGCACTAGGCAACCAAGTACTATGGTGAGATTGCTGCTTCGGTCCTGCTCATCAAAGAAGATTCACAGTGCCTAGGAATTTAGGTAGTCTACAGAGCATCGTTGACATATATACAAAGCAGAGAGGCTGCTCCAAGTAGCGAAGAAGTCAGGGGGCAGGAGTAGGGAGATTAGTGCTAAGTTTAAAGAGCTTCTCGGGGCATGTCTACCCTCTGTGGAGACAGATGGCACAGACAGTTAAGACAGGGAGCTAAGACAGACAGATGGAAACAACACACAGGACACAGCACCTGATTAAACACGGCCTGAAAAGTCTGGTTAGTCCTTTGATGCAAATTTTAAGGCTAGTCAAAAACAAAGCAAACAAGCAAAACCCTCTTAGTGAACACCAGTAAACTTGGATGTTCACACAAAATCATAAATAAAATTACACGAGAGCTTTGGGTAATATTTAGCACTCTACCTTTGAAAATAATGACAAATTCTAGGATTTACAAAGAGGAGGGGAGAACGGGGGTAATGGTCCTATTACGAAGCAGCAATTCCTGGCTAAACAATGCAAGCCTGGCTAGCAGTTACCTTTCTCTCATGTTTTGTGCCTTCCCCAAGTCATTAAGAAAGAGCTCTGGCCTCGGCTTGCGTGTAACCAGTAATGACAACCTCTTTGCAGTTATCTGTGTGTACAAACAACCAAAAACATTCAGAACACCAATACAGCATTTTTTGAAGACAAATAAATCATTCAAGAAATTAAGTTATTTAAAACAACTATTTCTATCAAAGAATAGAGGGGAACATACCAAAGAGAAGGGCACCCTCCCTGCCCCGCAATTCAACATGCAGAACAGGCGACTGGTGCTTTCACAGTGGCAGTATGGTTTGAAGCAAGGACACATATCCTGAGCCATCCAGTTCCAGGACTCTACAACACTGTATTCAGGTGATACAGACAAGATGGTCCATGCAAATGAACTAACCAAAGTCAGGTGGTGTGCAAACTAGATTAGGATCCCAGACATCTTCTGAATGGTTTGGAGTCACAAGAAATGAAGATCCAATGAAGTGGTTGGCATTTAGAAGCACACTATTTAAGTATATCTCCCTGAAGATAAGGTTATACATTAGTAAGTATACTGGCCAATATCTGGCACTATTGGTCACTGTATTGCGAAAGGGAATTGGGGCAATTCATATTGAGTAGTAGCACTACGTTAAATCATCATTAAAGCCAGAATAAGATGTTTTAGCTACTCAAGTAGCATTTCTGACTTCAAATAGTTATATCATGCAGGATTTATGCTGTATTATGGAGCCTGGAGAAACTCTACACTTAATTACTTCCATTACAGGATAAACAGTACTTGTTTTGATATAATTTAGCCGATTGATGCAGTTTGGATTACAAGATAGATGGAATGGGAGATCGAGAGCGCCTCAGAGGACAAGGAGAGCTGTAGGGTGATGTTACTGGAGAAAGCCTCAGAGCATTGCCTGCCAAGCCCGCTATGTTGTTTAAGCTTCGGGATTTTTCATATCCTTTTATGAAAAAATGCACAGACATCAGTTGAATTCAACCAGAAAAGAGACAGAGACAAACAATACCATGCAGGGTAATCAAACGTGCTATTTTTGTGCTCACACCATGTGTAAAGAATTCAATGTTGAGACAATTCATACATCGAAAAACTGAAATTCACTGCATTTGGCATCCTGAAACTATTAAACCGGCTATCATAAATTATAGCTACAATGTTCCAAAATATGTTTATGTCCAGATTATTTTTGGCATTGATGCAATTTGGGCATAGAGATTACAAAAAAACTTTTAAAGCTTAGACAAAGCCACTTAAATAAGATTACACACTCAACACTTTAAAGTTCAGGATGTGTTTCTGAACGTTAAAAATACATGAGGCATTTTTCTTTTTTAATTCTACTGTTAATAGCAAATGAAGCATGCTTTACTTGAAGTGTACACTTGTTACCAACATAAGTATATTTTGAGTTTTACAAGTTGAAAAGGGTGATCTGAATAATAATGGCATTTTGTGCCATTATCCAGGTGATACAGGATGGAAAGTATATTACCAATCCCTTAGGTAATAAAATAAAGTTAAATAAAAAAAAAAAAACAAATGAAATGTAAACTGAGTCATAATTTCAGTGAAATAAATCTGAATCTGATGTTCTCAGATGACTTCATCTCTTTCCCTTACCCTCTAGATTTTACTGTCTAGAAATTGAGGCAAATTTTATTTTAGTCCAATATTTCCAACCTGACCTATTGTGAGTGATATCCATGCACTTAGATACGAGAACAGCTTTTCAGAAACATTAGCTTGGTTGTTTTCCTTAACCACTCAGCCAGTTACCCCATCCTGTGACCTTTGGAGGGATTCACGTGGTGCAGTATTTTCAGTAGAACATTAGAGGCAGTTGAATGAGTTTGGGCTGCATCTCATATAAAATGGGACATGAAGTAGAAAGCAGGACATTTGAATGGAAATGAAGTTCTAGCACACTGCTTTGGACATAAATGTTTTGGCAGTTCCACTGAACAGTTACAGGGCTGGAAAAGAACTTCCTGTAGGGCAACCAAAATTGAGTAAATGCACACAATTCCAATGGGCTTCTTGTCTCGTGTCTCCTCTAGACTGTGTAGTACTCTCCATGGGCTCTAGTGTGCTTGCTGAACGTGGGACGAAGAGAAAAGAAAGAGTCTTTTGTAATTGCCTCTACTTCTCTTAACTGGGACTGAAGTAATTTATCTATTACTCTGACATAGGAGAGGCCAACACATATATCATCAAGACAGACTCTATAACAACCTCATAACGGGCTAACACTCAGAGAAACAGGAGAGCAGAGTAACGAACACTCCGTACCTCATGCACACACACTGATCTCCTGTAGACTGGATGTCTTCTAAATGGTTTTGTGAATAGATATTCCATTAACTATAATAGTGTTTGTAGGGGCCTGCTTTCTGTTGAATAAACATTTACCTGCCTCTGTTCTTTTAGCATCCTTTATTATAAAACATGGAGGAGGGTGTTTTCATTCCATGCGCCTAGGTGATATGATAGTTAATGGAAGAATGCTTTCATTTTTTAAATTGAAAGTAATTTATCATTACATAGAAACAATGTGCATGGTAACTCCATTGTTACGGCACTTCTCTAAAGTGGTTGATATTATAACTTTAAAAATCACAGAGAAAAGGATATTTCCTATGCAGTAGAAGTTGATTATGTGACCTAAAAATAAAAACTAGATTATAAACATTGATGAATGTTAATTACTGGTGGGAATGCATCAAAAGGGAACTTTATACTCCAAGCCCCTTACACACCTCTCAGAAATGTAATGATCTGTTAGATAATTTTACCTTAATCACCAAGTGATAGATGAATCTTGATTGCTAGTCTAAATTATAGAGTTTAAAGTAAATATTTGTTATTCTGTTTACGGATCCTTTTATTTTTAATATCCATGATTTAATATCATTTTAAAAAGCTCTCCTCATTTACAACAAGTATTTAATTAGTAAAATTATATGTTCTTTATACATCTTTAGTTTTACCTATTCTAAATATTTCTGATTCAAAATTCTGACATATTTTTTCCTTAATTAAACTTTTTTTGGAGTCATTGAAAATATTAATGATGATTTGAATATAAAATCTTGGTTACACATGAAAATTAAACAATACTAAATCTACTTGGAAGCAACATTAGAAAATGGAGCTCCAACTTTATTCAGCACCTAGGAACATGTGCTCAATTGGGATAATGTCAACACTGCTGTATAGAGAGCACGCATGAAGGTTGTAGTTTGGATAATATGGTACTCAAAAACAGCTTTAAGAAAACACAAAGATCTTAAATATTGAAAGGTTACTCTTTAAACAAATCTTTCCTCTCTCTAAAAGCATTATGGAAATTTTCATCCTTATATGTAAAATAGCTAGGCATCCAATAATTTTTAAATTTTATTGGATACAGAGAGAATTTGGGGAAATTTGAAATAAAGTGAATAGAAAGATCCATTTGAAAAGTGAGTGCATCCTATAGGAAGTAAATATTTGGAAAGAATAGAAGAACTCTATAAGCTCTGTAAAGGAAAGAGGACAGGCAACGGATGGCTTTTTGGTAGATGTGACAGCCAAAGACAAGGTCAGCATGGTTAAGCGTTTTCAGAAACAATACCCACAGAGGGAGAACATACAGCGCTTAAAACAAAGTGCAAGAGTTGGTGTCACAAGGCAAGGAATAATGAAGCACAAAAGGCTCATGTGAGCTAATCAGTTTACAAAAGCAGTCCTCATCCAAAAAAAAAAGTCCTTTTGTGAAATAAAGCTGTATGTATCTCTCCATGCAAAATAAGTATCTTATTAAGTGCTTTGTTCATAAAGATTTGTGATTTTGTAGTAAAATTTTATATTAACATGCTAGCTTATCATGGTCAGAGCTTTTCTCAGACATTTCTCAACTGTTTAAAGTAGAAAGTAGTATTTAACACGGAAGAAAATTTGATTCAAGATATTTATATACATTACCTTTGTATAAGCACAGTATATAATACTTTAATGGAAGATGTATAAAGATGAATATGTGTTTGATCTCATATACATATATGTGTGTATACACATATATACATGTATATATACAGAGATAAACTTGTTAGGATATATATGCATTTAGAAAACTGTTTTGAACACAAGATATTACTATTAGTGTGTGTTTCTATATTTTGCTCAAATACTATAAAACTTTAGCTATCCTCACAAAACATTTAAACTTTAGCACACATACAAATATAAATTAATAAAGAAACCCATTCAGAGGACTGCAGCACATTTTTGTCCAAGGAACACATGGAAATAATTGGGATGAAGACTTATTTGATATATTAATCAGCAATAAAAATGAAAACAACGTGAAGAGTCCTCTGCTTTCACGTCTCAAAGACATTGGAAGCAGAAAAGCAATAAAATGCTCAGAAGAAATAAAAAGGAACTGGAGTTTAAGCTATGGGAAGCTTTCTAAGGGCGCCACCACAAAACAAACATTTTAAGTTTAAAACATTGAAGAATTGGAAAAAGTGCTTCACAAAACAAACATGGACATCAATTACAGAATACAATGGAACAAAACGTGAAGTTTTCTGTTCCGATTTAGCTAACAAGGGTAATAAGTCCTTACATATCTTTTTCCTGTTCCTTAACCAAGACACTTGCCCGACCATTTTAATTCCATCAACAAATAAATATTGATCATTTCCTAGTTGTTAACTACTGTTTAGTGTCCAGTGAAAAATATTAACGGTTTTAAAATTATTTGGGGGGTCTAAGGAAAAAAAATACGGGTAATTTTAATCACACAAGTGACCTTTCAAGTAATTTTTACAAACGCACATGGCAGAGTGGGGGATCTTGCCCATTGAGACAGTCACTGAAGCTACTGGCATTTACTGCCCTGGTAAGTGTTGGGAAAGCTATTTAAAGGGTATTTAGCTCTTCCATTTGAAAAAGAATATACCTTATCGATTGTTTCATGGTCATCAATTACTTAACAAATATAGTCATAGAGCCAATTAGTGAGTATTGTTTTAATACAAAAGGTAACTTTTAAAGACTGCTAAAAAAACGCTATGATAAAATAATTAATGACTGACTTAATGTGTTTAATGGTAAATGAAAGGATGAAGAAAGTATAAAGAATAAACGGTAATGTAACAATAGAGCAGTCTGTCGTAATGACGATTATAAAATGCTTATAATGAGAGACGTAGTGGAGAGAGTAAACCACATGCAGCGTTCCCTGGAAACATGACGATGAGCAATTTGCATCGCACTTACTTAATGGCTACGTTACCTACTACGATTAGATTAGATGCATGCCTACCTTTCCTGATCCCTCCATCAGAAGTGCACGTGTAATCACCTGTCGTCAATAGGAAACACGTTTCCCCTCTTCTGTTTTTGTCTCTGGTACTAGAGCGTCTGATGGGGAGCCTTTCTGGAGGTGAGAGTGGCGGCTCACTTCCTGTACTGTCGTCACCTGAGAACACTGGTCACAGCACCACGCCCATTGACAGACAGGGACGAATGAGGAAATGAGACAGGACAAAGAGTTTACAGCAGATGCCTGTAGTCCAGTCACTCAATATACAGCACACGGTCCTCGCATCACCGTACTCAGCACAATAAAGAGAATTACACCAAGAAAAATGAAAATGCATTGAAAAAGGGAGGAGTGTTCCTTACAAAATTCTGATTCGTTTTTGGAATCTGACGGATATTGGCCTTTACACAGGTGGTATGAACTCAAAACAAATGCAGTAATGAGTTTGGACAAGTTGACCATGTAGTTTGTTACACGTTATTCAGACACAGTGAATGGAAATAGTTAACTTAGGAAAAAACTCGAGAGTAGTGACTGGCCTTGCTGTTCTTAAGGAGACATGTTTTTCTTAAGTTTTCTGAAATTCAATTTCCCACCCCCAAAAAATCTTTACTAAAAGAATCCCGAAGCATAAGAACTACCATTCCACTTTGAAGACTCGAGATCATTTTGAACAAAGCACACAGCAAAGATCTCCCGTGTCCGTGAGAGCGTTGTTTACTTCTGAATGCTTGTCAGGGGCTTTCTATACACACTGGCCTGCACACGGGCTTGGTACCACAGTGTGGGATGGAGAAGAAGATGTGTCCTCTTTGACCATGGCTTTCTTAAGGGTTCTGCATAAACATACTGAGAGCAGTGTGATAGCAACCACGTCAGCTAAGTTCCCCCTTTCAGATAAGTATTCTCAAAAGCTGTCAGATATGTGTCGATAGAACTGCCAGCTGAAATCCCAAATGCATATATAATGACTGCGGATGAAAATTTTAAACAGCAGATTCATCTCCAGTCACACTTCTTTGAGTTTTCTGTTTGCCTCATAAAACTTTTCAGAAGCTAAGGTGGACCTTGTTTCTAAATGAGGCATGAGACCATCAGCGGTTATTATTTTTTCCATATAAGAAATAGTTAAAGTAGATCTAAAAGAGTGGTATATGTTTACTTTAAATTTCAAATTGATAATCTAAAAAAATACTCTATCTTACTAGGACACAATAGACAAGCAAGGACTCCCTCTGCCTTGGCTTGGACAGACTGACTCTCAGCTCAAACTCAATCAACTCTGTGTTGCCTCTAGCATATAGGAAGCAAGATTCCAGCAAATGCCGAGCAATAAAATATTCAAAATACAGTTCTAGCAATGAGCAGAGGCCAAGGCACAACACAATAAGAAATGATTGCTGGAATAAGATCGAGTTTTGTCGTTGGTTGCCATGGCAGATCACCTGTGCCCTGAACTATGATGAGTGTTTAATTTTTGCATTATATATGACTTCGTTTCATGAAAAAAAATAAAGTTGCAATATCCTACCTAGTTTTAAAATGATAAAAATTTAGTCAGTCTAGAATATTACTAATAACGAGCTTTCTTATTGAAATAGCTGTCTTCCACATCACCTCTTTAGTGTCTAGGCCTTTGACGTGCAAGCACCCATTCTCCTTAAGCAACTGCTTCTCCTGAATGAGGTTGAGAGGCAGGGTACCATGTGGCAGAGGTAAAGCTGAGACAAACACACCAAGCCAAATGAAATGAAGGTGAACATTTGGAGGATGAAGCGTGGGAAATGGTTCAGGTCATACCATCACATCATGCCGAGGAACAAAGAAACATTGGCACAGAAGCAACAAGTGGGCAAAAGAAAATATTGGCACTATCAGCAGAGGTCAGTCCCACCACCATCAGAAACCCCCACAGACCTGCTCTGCTGACCCAAATGTAGACATGCTACAGTCTAGTTATCTATAAGCCTCACAGACACACATTTTAGGAGAAGTTAAAACTGAAAACTCATGTGTATTTACATCTACCCTCTACATATAGGATACACTGGTCTACAAAGTATTACATGGTCCACATTTGAAAGCATGCCTTACCTGATCTGTTATGCTCCAGAAGCCGGTTTTCTTTACCCAGACACGTGTCACCCTGGGTACTATTGCAAGTCATATTTAACTCTGTCTTGCAAAACGTAGGTGAGCTTGCCAGAGGCGCAGGAGGAATGTGCTTCTTTCTTTTCCTCGGAAGTTTCTGCTTCGCCATTGCCAGGGAATAGTACATTCCGAAATTGTTGACAATGACAGGCACGGGCATGGCTATTGTCAGCACTCCAGCCAGAGCACATAAGGCCCCCACCAGCATCCCTGACCACGTTTGGGGGTACATATCCCCGTAGCCTAACGTAGTCATGGTCACCACGGCCCACCAGAAACCAATGGGGATGTTTTTGAATTGGGTGTGCTCGCTAGCTGAGGGGTCATTGGGCTGCGCTCCCACTCGCTCGGCATAGTAGATCATCGTGGCGAATATCAAGACCCCTAGAGCCAGGAAGATGATGAGCAGCAAAAATTCATTGGTGCTGGCGCGAAGAGTGTGTCCAAGCACCCTCAAGCCTACAAAATGGCGGGTGAGCTTGAAGATTCTCAGGATCCTCACAAACCTAACCACCCTGAGGAAGCCAAGCACGTCTTTAGCAGCTTTGGAGGAGAGCCCGCTGAGTCCCACTTCTAGGTAGAAAGGGAGGATGGCCACAAAGTCAATGATGTTCAAGAGGTTTTTGATGAATTCAAGTTTATTGGGTGAAAAGACAATACGGACTAAAAATTCAAAAGTAAACCACACCACACACACTCCTTCTACATACGTCAAGGCAGGATCCGTTTCGATCTCATACTGGAGAACGGGGCTTGTGCCGTTGATAACTGGCTCTGTCTTGTTTTTAACAATATTGAAAGCTTCGTGAGTCTCCAGGCAAAAGGTCGTGATGGAAACCAAGATGAAGAATAAAGAAGCAAACGCAATAAACTGCAGAAAGAAAGAAAGAAACAGAAATGCACAGTGACCTGAACCATCAGAGACATATATCTGAATCCAAATGGCACCGATCGCTGGCAACCAAAAGGGTAACGGAATATTTGGGGATGTCACTTGGGATGGTTCTAAAAAGGTAACCAGGCCGGAACCGGAGAGTTCTCCAAACTCTTGTCTTTGCTCACACATAGACAAAGCTTTACTTTTTGCTTTGTGAAGGAGGGAAAACTGTGAAGAAACCATAAAAGTTATCTCAGAACAAGTTTTGATGACAATAGTCTGAAAAAGAAAAACGAAATTGTGACAATAGCTCCGATTTTGACAATTGCTTATGACCTAGAAATTTTAAAACACGGTTTATAACTGCAGATACAAGGCAGATTACATGCTTGGGAATTTAGGAATCATGCAAATGTAGCTGGCAGCTTCTACTTATCAATAAAGCGTTTTGGGTATCGTGCAATATGAATATGAAAAGAATACTTGCAGTGTACAATACGCTGAAGGTAGAGACTGCCCAATTAAGTAAGTCTGGATGAAGCGCAAACTCAACCCGCATTAATTAAAGGAGAGAAACTGAGTTAGGGAGGCAATTAGAATACAGTTATCTTCCTAGACTTAAAATAACAACTTGAAAATGCTGGTGTAATACATTATAAAGCTAGTTTTTAAAAATTGATGATTCCATTTCTTTAGTTAATGATACATGAACGCATATGCACCTACAAACGCAGATTAGTCCTAAGAACTCCCAGGTACATAGTTCCGGCTAGACCCACACTGTTGAACTGATTGACACCAACCTGCATAACAACACTACTACTAGCCCCATTTTACAATTCAGGAATATCAAGTCAGGCTGTTACATCTTTTTTTAATTAAGTCAGTTTGATTAAAGTGGTAGGTTCAGACAGTAACCTGACAAATTTAGCCACAACATCCAGGCTTTTAAGTTATCAAATTCCAATAGGAAGAATACAAATTGTTGAAACCTCTTCCCCTAGCCCAGGGTCACACCGTTCTTAATACTACAGATCTGAACCTTTGAAATGCAGGTGTTGGAATGGAGGGCACTGCTGTCCTTCACTGGAGGCACTGCAGCATGGCTGAGTCCTCTAGTATTCTCTTGGAGTGTCGCAGAAGCCATACTTGCTGAACGAGCAAGCTGCTCCTTTCATAAAGCGTGGAATCACCAGGAGAAAGAAACTGTACTCAAGCAGGAGCTTAGTTGAACATAATGGACTAGTTCCAATATCCAATCTGTGCCCTGACAGATGTTCTTCAAGCATGGCTGCCACTGAGAAGGGCTGAACTGCAGTTCAAGAAAATAGACCCCCCCCCCTTTTTTTAACTCAATAAGCTTGCGATGACATCATAAAAAGACTAATCAATGTGACTGTCTGCCTTAGACAACCACCCCAAATTAAAGACTTTCACAGGTAGTCTGAGCATATCCATCACACAGCACTGAACAAATCTCACATCTACAGCACTGACCTGGCCCCTGTGCACATCTTCCAAGCACTCTTGATTCTGGCATTATAACCCAACTGTTTAGTTTTACGGGACATTTGAGATGTTAACTTATTCCATTTCTCTTTCTCATTTCATGTACAAAGAAATACACAGCTCTGTTCAGTCAATTGTTGCAAACTAAGTATCATGACAGCTTTACATACACTAAACAATGATGTGCTGTAGCTATGTGTGATGGGTAATTGATTTGGAACCACATCCTTCCTGTGGCTCTAGATTTGAAAGTTTCTGATTGAATGGGACACTTTTTGTTGTTAGAGCCTTGCACATTTGTCGCTACTCCTCTCCTTTCCCCCTCCCCCACAGTACCCATAAGGCCATTCTGTCCCTGCACTTCAGAGTAGGCATAATATTAGCAGGCAGAGTCTACGATCTATCAATTAAGCTGTAGTTTGATGTTCTGCTTATACACGTCTTCAGGAAGCACTCTCTTCAGTGGACACTGTAATCCTAAATGGCACCATTGCATGAGGCAGTCTATTAGTTTCTCCTTTCAGAAAGTCCTAGTGTGCCTGCCACATCCAAACAACAAAAAACAGTTCTATAATATGCCTTGATGCTTTTCAAAAAAATTAGTACTTTTATAATTGGCCATTTCTCTATTATACCATCGCTCATGCATGCATGCATGCAGCGTATTAGATGCTCCTCTTCGCCAGGCCTCAGGTCAAGCTTTTAATTTAATAGCAGTTAATGGAACAGAAGCCACCGAGGAATTCACAGTGCAATGAGGACGCAGACATTAAATTCATTAAATACACAAAGGGTCTGTAATTGTAGTTGTCATAAGTTCAGTAAAGAAAAAAATACATGAGATTTTGAAAGAATGAACATGGACTGTGTTTGGGAGGAAGGGGCCCTGAGACCTTTGCTCATAGTCTTAAATGAGAGATGAGCAAGTCCACTGCCCAGAAAAGAAGAATTTTAAAGCTTAAAAAATCATTCTATAGTTGTTTGACTTGAGAAAAGGTAGCATAGCTCTGGCTAGCCTTGAATTCTCTATGTGGGTCACCATGACTGTGAATCCCAGGTTCTCCTGTTTCCAACCCCAAGTGCTAAGATGTCAGGCTAGCACCATCAAGCCTGGTTTTTGCAGTAGTGGAGAGCAAACTCCAGGCTTTCTGCATGCTAGGAAATTATTCTACCTACTGAGCTATGTCTCCAGCCAGTTGTTCTTTCTTTCTTTCTTTCTTTCTTTCTTTCTTTCTTTCTTTCTTTCTTTCTTTCTTTCTTTCTCAACTGATGATTGGTTACAATACCACAAGAGCTGCAGGTTTTCCAAATCTGCCAACAGTGTATGGACTATCCTTTATAAAACCCATCAAGCAGAGGGACTGTCTTTGTAACGGTTAATCCATTTCTCTCAGGAAATGTTATGAAGCAGAAATAATACCCAGGCTTTAAAAATGGTGACAAAGCGACTTTAGATCAGTGGTTCTCAACAGTTCTAACGTCGTGGCCCTATAATACACTTCTTCATGTTGTGATGATCCCCAACCATAAAATTATTTATCATATAACTGCAATTGTGCTACTGTTAATGAATTATGTCAATACGTGTTCTTTCCATTGGCCTTAGGCCAACCCTGTGAAAAGTTATTCAACACCCAGAGGGGATCACAATCTCCAGGTTGACAACCATAGCTTTAGAGACACTTAATTCCTAATAGTACCATTTTGGGCTTGTTTTTCCATATAATTCAGTTGCTTGAAACTACTGTGTGAATTTGAGACAATGTGGAAATAGAAAATGCCTGCTAAAGTGATTTTTTATTTGAAACATAGATTATTTTAGTAAACTTTCTAAAATACAATTATTTCCTCAAAATGCTCTAAGAATACAGTGTTTATTTGCATTGAAGCATTTGTCTTTGGAAACAAATTATGTTACCCACCCATGTTCCTAAATACTCGGAATAATATACAAAACTATGAATTCCTTATTCCCCACCACCATAAGATATCAGACTTTCTTCTGCAGGGAGAGGAAAATAACATTTAACAAGGTTCCCAGGTGATTAATATGCATATTAAAAATTGGAAAACAATTTCTTGCGCGTTTTTCAGAAAAAAATGAAACAAATTATCTAATGAGTTGGAAGAGTCTTCAATTTATAAACATCCATCCATATTCTTAATAAAACTCCCTGGAGGCTTACTAATAATAAACATTTACTAGTTCTATAGAAGCATTTCTGGATGTTTATGTCTAATTTGATGTAATTCTGCTTTTTTCCAAAAAATAGTTTTGGACCAAGAAGGCATCTGAACAACCTATAAATGCAAACAAGTTTAAAACATAAAGCTTTGGAGCCCACCAACTGCATGGAACTATCAATATTTGTGTCATCAATATTTTAAGAACCGTAAAAAGGGGGCTGGAGAGATGGCTCAACAGTTAAGAGCATTGGACGCTCTTCCAGACGACGTTGGTTCAATTCTCAGTACCTATATGGCTGTTTACAACCATTGATCAGTAGATCTAATACCTTCTTTTGGCTTCTGGGAGCACCACACGCAAGTGGTGCACAAACATATATGCTTCCCAAAATCCCATATGCATAAAATAAGTGGAAAGGTTAAAAAAATTAAATAACTATAATGAGAACTTAGATGCTGCTTCTGCCAAAAGCATCTGCAGATGCCCAAAAAAATAACTGAAAGCAAGATGAAAGTTTGGCATCACTCTCTTTCCATGTGAGTCATGCTCCTCTGCACTCACCATGGGTTCCAGGAACAACAGGTTTGCACTAGAAAAGTCTTGTAATGAGTTGAAATCACTACCCAGGCTGCATCAACTTCCTTTTCTCCTAATAAGACCCACATGATCAACCGTGAGGTGATTATGATCAACCAGATGACAGTCTGATCAAGAATGCTTGAATATACAGACACCCTTACCCTTGTTCCTCTTGATAGTTAATCTTAAAGCTCCTAAATACCAACACAGGACCATTTCCTCACCTCCACAAAACTGTCATCCTGTTTTGAGTACCTTTCCTTATTTTCACAAATTCTTTTTCCATTTGACTTTTTACAGGAGTGCTTCTTTGGGGGGGGGTCCCCACAATTGAGTCTTTGGCCTAGGACTCTATAGCTGGACCACACCATGATTTTGTATTTTGCATCGATTTTTATTGCTCTATCATAGCTATGTGCAGCTTTCACTTTCGGGTATGTTATAAATCTGTTGGAGTGTGGTACCACTGACGTAAAACACCGACTCCCAATGATATGCTGCTGTACTCACAGATCAGTGCCTTGCTCAGTTGTCATCAGTGCAGAGATCCACAGCCAGACATTATGAGAGAAACAGAGAGTCTTAATCAGAGGTCTTCTTTGGGTCCCTCCCCCCAGGCATCAGGGGACCCCATGGAAGAGAAGGAGAAACGATTTGTAGGAGTCAGAGGGGATGGAGGGCACCAGGAGAACAACTTGGCCCACCAAATCAGTTAAGC